TGTCCACTAGCGATAAATACACAGCTGTAAATGCATTCTGACTTCACAGTCCATAGAGGCTCACAGTGCCCCTCCAACCAGCAGATCCTCCAGGGCATGGAGGGATTCCACACAGCATCTCTCTCCTGTGGCTAAGATGGTTCATCACTAGGGGTGTTTTTGTCCGGAGTCTGGGAGGTAGAGGTTGGAGGCTGTGGCTCATTGTTCTCCTCCAGGCCGTGTCAGATCCCATATCCAAAGTATATGGCAAATCCTAGTAGGGAAATGAGACGATGAGAAGCAAAAGCAGGCACTCTCCTCACTTATAAATGCCCAGTAGGCCTCCTATTATGGCATCTGACACAGTTTAGCGGAGAGGTAGTAGGAAGAGGATTGGGTTCAGTCACCCAAGAGGCCTCCTTACTCCAGAAAGTCACTTACCAATCCCCATCCAGATGCCAAATACTCAGGTCCAAGTGGTCATGTGCATCATCAGGTAAACGTTCACGAAGATGCTCACCAGTGGGAGAACAGGCAGAGCAGGGACCTGTGGGCAAAGTCAGTTCATCCCTGGACACACCCTAGGCATCTAAAAGGGAGACCCTAGCCCATGTGAGAGGGACAAGTTCAGTGCAATTCAGGCTGTGTGTTCAGTGCCTACTTAGATAGTGTATGGAAAGCACTGAGTTGGGTCAGAGAAGGATCCATAGGTTTCAGCAACTCCAATTCTTCCCTGATCCAGCAAAGGAAGCTTAGACCTAAAGCATGCAGACCTCCTTCACTCAAGGTGGACACTTTGGACATGTGAGGTCACCTACCCTGAAGTGAAGAGCAGTGGGGCTCTGGGGCTGCCTCCAGATGATGACTGTGACCCCAGTGATGAGCAGCAGCAGCAGCACAGCCACTGCTGTGAGCACGGGGCCTCCAGAGAACACCTGGGTGGGGCACTGGGCCAGGATCAGGCTCAGGATGGTCAGCAGGAGAACTGCAAGGGTCAAGGTGGAGGACAACAGGCTGGACCCAGAAGACAAAGACATCAGGACCTCGGGTCACACCCCTCCCCAGGCTGCCCACATCAGGAATGGACATCGTATCTCCAAGACCCCTCAACAGACAAATATACACGCCTACCCATCCTGGCAATTTCAGAATATCACCAAAGAGAAATCCCACTGCTCACCAAGCAGGAAGGCACATCCATAGACAATCTGGCCAGATTTCCGGGTGGGGATGGTGCTGGGAGGAAACCACAGACTCTTTAGAATCCTTGAGGTTCTGCCTTCAAGTACAGAGTCCAAAGACCTTTCTTTGACTACAAGCTCCTTCTCAGTTTCTTCCTCTGTTCTTTGGTTCTTGCTTAAATTCTGGTCTGGTGATACCTGAATTAGAGGTATGATGGCAACATGACCAGCAGTCCCTACTCACCCAACATCACACAGCCGAATCCATCTTTTTTTCCCACAAAAGCAGAGCAGGACATTTAGAAGGCAGCATGAAGGCAGAGAGGATTAGCCCCCATCAATCACCACAAGTCAAAGAGCCCCAGTCAGGCTGGAGTAGAGTCTCACCTGAGCACAAGGACAGAAAAATTGACCACCAAGTTAGCAAGCAGGGACTGAAGTGATTATGAGATCCATCAGATCAATGAAATGGAAGAGTAACACCAAGACCCTTAGAAGGAGGGCATAAACAAGGTGGGGGGATAGAGTGAGAAACAGCTGGAAATATGCAAGCCAAGGAAGATAATCCAAAGGCAGTGGGTTTTGTTTATCTACCTGAAAGGTTTCCAGAAATCATGATGACCGTGGTGTGGGTTCGTGTACGGGTGTTGATCCGGGCAAGAAATCGGAAAAGGAGCCCGTCCTCTGCCATTGTGTAGGTCAACCAAGGCATGGCGAACATGGTGTTCAGGAGGCTGAAAAATAAAACAGGGAGGAGTGAGAACGTGCAGAAGCAGGTGAGACCAGGGCATCCACTCACTCATCTACATGGGGTAACATGTCCTTCCTCTTGTCCCTCGATCCCCAGGGCTGGGATACCCGAGCATCTGACAGTCAGTGAGGAGAAAGCCATGACACTCACCTGGACGAAAGAGCACAGAGGATGCCAACAGCCACGACATATCTGGCAGGGCCCCACCCAACATTGAGAAAAGCCTGTAGAAAGGGGCTGTCAGGGTGAATCTGGTAGTAGGGCACCATGAGGGTGAGTGCCGCCAAGACACCAAAATACGTCAAGAAGCAGATCAAGACAGAGACCACGATGCTGATGGGGATGGACCACTGAGGATTTGGGGCTTTTTCCCTGCAGGATTGGAGGAAATACTGGGTCAGGAAACACACCAGAGTGAAAGCACAAAATCCTCTTTCCTGTTAAACCTCCAAAAGAAACCCCTATGCTCATGTCAGCCCAATCCGTGCCCACACCCTGGATGGGACACGTAGTGACCATGTTACCTATAGTGACAATGGAATCAAAACCAATAAACATGTAGAAACATAGAACTGCTCCTCGGAGAATCCCATCAAGGCCAAAAGGCACAAACCCTCCAGAACCCAGAGGGCCCAAGCTATGGTGAGAGAAGAAGCAAGAAAGACCGTGGGTGAGGTGTGTTCAGCCGTGGGTACTGGCTTAATATGACTCCTCCCTTAATATGACAAGTCCTGGGCTCCAGGACCCCCTCCACCTGGATCTCTTGGTTGTGTCCGACTTCAAACTCAGAGATGTAGCCCACCAGGCTCCTCTGTCTGTGGAATGCTCCAGGCAAGAATACTGGAGTGCTTAGCCATTCCATTCTCCACAGGATCAGGAAGACCCAGGGACTGAACCCTGGTCTCCGGCATCGCAGGCGGATGCTTTACCCTCTGAGCCACCAGGGAAGCCCGAGATCTCTTCGACCCCAGGTTCCCAGATGGGCACCCTTTCCCACGCCATGCGTTACTAAGGTCAAGACATCCTCCTAACCTATGAATGTCATCGGATTCAGACGTGTTCAATGTGTAGTCCTGTTCTGTGAGCTTCCAGTTGTGCAGGTCTCCCTTAATGAAGCTGGAGACGATGATGAAGCCGAGAACCGAAATGTTGATGCCCATGAACACTTTGTTAACCTGGGGCAGCACATGAACTCCCCGAACCAGTAGTCCTGTTGGGAAAAATGGAAAATGAAACTTCCCAAATAACTAAATCCAGGACTCCCCTGGTGTTCCAGAGTTTAATACTCCAAGTTTCCATGGCAGGGGACACAGGTTCAATGCCTGGTTGGGGAAGTTCTGCATGTCTCATGATGAAGCCAAATAAATAACTAAATCCATAGAGACAGAAAGCAAACACATTTTTGCCTAGGACTGGTGGTTATGGGTGGTGGACAGACAAACAGTGACTGCTCAGTGGGTATGGAGCTTCCTTTTGTTGTGAAGGACATGTTTGGAACTGGAAGGAGGTGACGGTTACACAACATTGAGAATGTACTAAGTGCCACCAAATTGTACACTTTTAGGTGGTTAATTTCTTATTGTGGCCATCATCTCACACTATACATGTCTATCAAATCATCTTAAACTTACACAATGTTGTATGTCAATTATATCTCAGTAAACTGGAAAAGTTTCCTCTCAGTTAAAAACAATCCTTGTGGGGTGGGAGGGAGGCTCAAAAGGAAGGAGATATATGTGTACATATGGCTGATTCACAATGATGTCCAGCAGAAACTAACACAACATTGTAAAATAGTTATATTCCAATAAAATAATAAAGTAAAAAAATAATTTAAAAAATTTTATAAAATCTTTGGTACTTCCCTGGTGGTGCAGAGGTTGAGAAACTGCCTTACATTACAGAGGATATGTGTTTGATCCCTGGTCCGGGGACTAAGATCCCACGTTCCATGCCACAACTGCTGAGCCCAAGCACAGCAATGAAGAGCCCGAAGGCCACACAAGGAGACCCAGTGCAGCCAGGAAGAAAAAAGCCAACTTTGATTTTCAGTTGGGGTAACTTTATCCCACAGGGGACTTTTGGCACTGTCTGGAAACATTGTGATTGATACAGTTTGGAGGGCTGGGCATCACTGGTATGTAGTACATAAAGTTCAGCATTGCTACTCAATATTCAACAATGATCTTTCTTTTGGGTGGTGGGGGAAGAGGGGTGAGACGCTTGCCAGGCAGGATCTTAGTTCCCCAACCAAGGTTGAACCTGCACCTTTATTAGTGAAAGCACAGAGTCCTAACCACTGGACCACCAGGGAATTCCCCCCAAAATGATTAAAACAAACAAAAAACAAACAAACTGAAATGCGCAGGACAGCCCCCCACCCCAAAGAACAAAAGTGTTAGTCATTCAGTCGTGTCTGATTCTTTGTGACCCCATGGACTGTAGCCCACCAGGCTCCTCTGTCCGTGGGATTCTCTAGGCAAGAATACTGGAGTACATAACCATTCCCTTCTCCAGGAGATCTTCCGGACCCAGGGATGGAACCCTGGTCTCCCACATCACAGGCAGATTCTTTACTATCTGAGCCACCTATTACCTCTACCCCAAAGAATGATTCAGCTCAAATTTTCAATAGTCCAAGGGTAGGGAAAAAATGGTCTTTGTCTTGCCTTCCTGGCATGCTGCGGTTCCTGGGGTCGCAAAGAGTCAGACACAACTTAGCAACTGAACATCAACAATGGCATCGAACTGAGTAGAATGAAGTTATAGAGTTTTTCTGTCGCTATTACCCATCTCCCCCCAATAAGGTGGGGTTCTATCCCTGGGTTGGGAAGATCCAGGAGGAGGGCATGGCAACCAGGACATGGCAACCCACTCCAGTATTCTCGCCTGACAAAATCCCAAGGATAGCGGAGCCTAGAGAGCTACAGTCCATGGGGTCGCAAAGAGTCAGACACGACTGCAGTGACTGAGGACAGCACCGCCCCGCAAGGTGGATAACATCTGCTTGTGAATGAGAAAAGATCCCATTCATCTCTCCTCACTTCTTGATCTGAAGCCCCACCCCTTCCTGTACCCCAGTATCTCACCAACAGTTAAGGACAGTATGCGATTCCAGCCGATGATGAAACCATATACCTGGCCCATGATGCTATAGCTGTAGAGATGTATAGAACCAGAGCGTGGTACCCGGGGCCCAAACTCTATATAGCAGAGCCCAGACAACAGATAAGACAGGGCGGCCACCAAGAAGGAGAGGATGATCGCTGGTCCAGCGATGTACTTGGCCACTGCACCAACCAGGATGTGCACGCCAGCTCCCAGCATCCTATGCACACCTATGACCACTAGGTCTAGGGTGTTCAGACAACCAACCGTGTGATGCCCAGTCTCCTCTCTGGGCCCCAGTGGCCGCCTGCGCACCAGCTTCTGACCAAATTGGAGAGCATACTGAAGTGGCATCCTACACAGAGGTCACGAGGCTACGATCTGCTGAGGAAACAAGATGCAAAGCCGTCAAGACGATGAGCCCCCTCTTCTTCTGACAGACACAACAGCTCCCAGCTCCTTTGAATTTCATCTGGAAAACGGGTCTCTCCACCCTTAGGCTGGAGCTGGGCTCACCCCTCTGCCCTCTGGGGTTGCAGAGGTCTCTTTGGGAGTATGTGAATTCAGTGCCCAGTCTCCTGCAGAAGAGGGTGACCCAAGACTTACTGGATCCTTGGAGCAGAGCCTGGAGCACTGGGGGAGTCAGGGAGGCTGAGGTTAAGCCGTGCGGGGCTGGAGCTGAGACATCGCTAAAAACTGAAGGGTGAGTCCCTGTGAAAAAAAGATAACTTTTTGTTGGGGTGGGGATGGAGTTGGGGGCCGGCAGGGAGCAGTGTTGCTATCAGCCCTTGATTCTTCTGTGGTTACCTCAGAGGGTGCTTCTGAGAGGTTTGTTTTAAAATTGTGTTGTAATACCCAGAATGTAAAATTAACTATTTTAACCTTTTTTTTCCATTTATTTTTATTAGTTGGAGGCTAATTACTTTACAACATTGCAGTGGTTTTTGTCATACATTGAAATGAATTAGCCATGGATTTATATTTTAACCTTTTTTAAGTGTGTAGTTTAGTTAAGTACATTTTACATTTTGGGCAACCAAGCTGTAGAACTTTCTTCATCTTGTGAAACTGAAACTGTACCAATACAACAAAATTCTTCCTTTCTTCTCCACCAGTCTTGGCAACCACTATTATACCCTCTGTCTCTGTCAGCCTGACCACTCCAGAGCTAGTGCTAAATTGCTTCAGTCATGTCCAACTCTTTGGGACCACTCTAGGTGCTTCATTCATGTGGGTTCATACACTATTTCTCTTTGTAGTCAGGCTTTACTTAGTATAATGTCAACAGAATTCATCCATGTTGTAACATGGGTTAGTATTCCCTTCCTTTTTAATGCTGAATAATACTCTATAGTATTATGAGTACATATTGCACTTGGCTTATCCATTTCTTGGTCAGTGGACACTTGGGTTTCTTTCATGCTTTAGTTACTGTGAATAATGCTGCTATGAACACGGGTATACAGATATGTCTTCCAGAATGTGCTGCTTTCCAACTCTTCTGGGTATATACTCAGAAGTAGAATTGCTGGACCATATGATTTTAAGATTTTTATCTGCTTGTGATGGAGAAAATGTTCACATATTGAGGATTATACAGTGGAAGTGAGAAATAGATTTAAGGGACTAGATATGAGAGACAGAGTGCCTGATGAACTATGGACGGAGGTCCATGACATTGTGCAGGAGACAGGAATTAAGACCATCCCCAAGAAAAAGAAATGCAAAAAAGCAAAACGGCTGTCTAAGGAGGCCTTACAAATAGCTGTGAGAAGAAGAGAAGTGAAAAGCAAAGGAGAGAAAGAAAGATATACCCATTTGAATGCAGAGTTCCAAAGAATAGCAAGGAGATAAGAAAGGCTTCCTCAGTGATCAATGCAAAGAAATAGAGGAAAACAATAGAATGGGAAAGACTAGAGATCTCTTCAAGAAAATTAGAGATACCAAGGGAACATTTCATGAAAAGATGGACTTAATAAAGGACAGAAATGGTAGGGACCAAACAGAAGCAGAAGGTATTAAGAAGAGGTGGCAAGAATACACAGAAGAACTGTACAAAAAAGATCTTCACGACCCAGACAATCACAATGGTGTGATCACTCACCTTGAGCCAGACATCCGGGAATGTGAAGTCAAATGGGCTTTAGGAAGCATCACTACTAACAAAGGTAGTGGAGATGATGGAATTCCAGTTGAGCTATTTCAAATCCTGAAAGACGATGCTGTGAAAGTGCTGCACTCAATATGCCAGCAAATCTGGAAAACTCAGCAGTGTCCACAGGACTGGGAAAGGTCAGTTTTCATTCCAATCCCAAAGAAAAGCAATGCCAAAGAATGCTCAAGCTATCACATAATTGCACTCATCTCACATGCTAGTAAAGTAATGCTAAAAATTCTCCAAGCCAGACTTCAGCAATATGTGAACCGTGAACTTCCAGATGTTCAAGCTGGTTTTAGAAAAGGCAGAGGAACCAGAGATCAAATTGCCAACATCCCCTGGATCATCGAAAAAGCAAGAGAGTTCCAGAAAAACATCTTTTTCTGCTTTATTGACTATGCCAAAGCCTTTGACTGTGTGGATCACAATAAACTCTGGAAAATCCTGAAAGAGATGGGCATACCAGACCACCTGACCTGCCTCTTGAGAAACCTGTATACAGGTCAGGAAGTAACAGTTAGAACTGGACATGGAACAACAGACTGGTTCCAAATAGGAAAAGGAGTACCTCAAGGCTATATATTGTCAGCTGGCTTATTTAACATATGCAGAGTACATCATGAGAAACGCTGGACTGGAAGAAGCACAAGCTGGAATCAAGATTGCCGGGAGAAATATCAATAACCTCAGATACGCAGATGACACCACCCTTATGGCAGAAAGTGAAGAAGAACTAAAGAGGCTCTTGATGAAAGTGAAAGAGGAGAGTGAAAAAGTTGGCTTAAAGCTCAACATTCAGAAAATGAAGATCATGGCATCTGGTCCCATCACTTCATGGGAAATAGATGGGGAAACAGTGGAAACAGTGGCTGACTTTATTTGTCTGGGCTCCAAAATCACTGCAGATGGTGACTGCAGCCATGAAGTTAAAAGACGCTTACCCCTTGGAAGGAAAGTTATGGCCAACCTAGACAGCATATTGAGAAGCAGAGACATTACTTTGCCAATAAAGGTCCGTCTAGTCAAGGCTATGGTTTTTCCAGTGGTCATGTATGGATGTGAGAGTTGGACTGTGAAGAAAGCTGAGCACCAAAGAATTGATGCTTTTGAATTATGGTGTTGAAGAAGACTCTTGAAAGTCCCTTGAACTGCAAGGAGATCCAACCAGTCCATCTTAAAGGAGATCAGTCTTGGGTGTTCATTGGAAGGACTGATGTTGAAGGTGAAACTCCAATACTTTGGAAACCTCATGTGAAGAGCTGACTCATTTGAAAAGGCCCTGACACTGGGAAAGATTGAGGGCAGGAGGAGAAGGGGACGACAGAGGATGAGATGGCTGGATGGCATCACCAACTTGATGGACATGGGTTTGGGTGGACCTCAGGAGTTGGTGATGGACAGGGAAGCCTGGTGTGCTGCGGTTCATGGGGTCGCAAAGAGTCAGACACGACTGAGCAACTGAACTGAACTGATTGCGGAATGGGGAAGTCATTTCGGCTTATTTGTGGTTCAGCTTGAACTGTGTGTGAACTAAGACAGCCTGCCTGACTCTCACAGCTAATCTGCATTAACCATTGAGATAAAGAACGTCTGTTTTGAAAATAAGGATGAACAACTCCCTTCTTATGGCGTCAATGAAAAGAGATGGTTCCCTTCCAGATGGTGTCCTGGTGCCTGAAGAACTTGTAACTATGGTCTCTGCCTATTTCTGTTGCTCACCCAATTGAATCTCTTAAATTCGGTCATACTCAACACTGTTCTGAGTCAAGTGGCCTCTTGGGGGTACTGTAACTCCCTTCACCCAATGTCACTTTGGCTTGATATAATCGTCTTAACCCTACAATTGTCCTTCCAGCACCTCAAGATGACAACAACCCTGACTGCATGGTGCTAACTGATTACCTTCTTACTCCTATACCTGTGCTATTAGGGGGGCTCCTAACCCCATATGACTAATGTCCTTCTAAGAAGAGAATGGAATGCAGAGAGTGAGAGATTTAATAAATAAAAATACAAAACACCTACATATACTGAATTTCAGACAAAGAGTGACTATTCAAATATATATTTCAATACACAGCTTTTGTATAAATGCATATTGGTGCATTTTATATAAATACATATTTGTGCATTAATTATATTTATATTTTAAATCTGTACAGATACACATACATGTACAAGCACAAACATACACTCAAAGATTGTGCCTCAAAGATACTGCCTTTTCTTATCAATTGAAGGTTTGTGACAATCAGGTGATTATTAGCATTTTTTCTTTTTACAAATACAGTATCTTAAAAGTACAGAAGAATCTGAAGGAGCAAGAGAACTTGGAGCCTGGCTGGCTATAGTCCTTGGGGTCGCAAGACTCAGACACGACTGAGCAACTGAACAACAATATAGCAGGGAGCAATTTGCTGGTGGTGGTGGCAGGCGCCCAGCCCTGATTCCTGGCATGTTTCTCAGAAGCTGATGAGGAAGCACTGCTTGGGCAAGGGACATGCCGGGAGTTGTAGTTCAGGCAGAACAAGAGAAAGAGGAGATGAGAGAGAGAAATACAACTAGGGTTCCTTCACTGAATGGACCTAGATTCAGCCCTGTGGGTCTTGGAAAGAGATAAAGCAGAGAGTGAGAGTAAGCAAGTTCTCGAGGGAGAGAGAAAGGCAGAAGTCTCCAGCCAGCAGTTTGGGGAGACCTGCAGTTTACCTTGAAACCCCGGGCTTCAGCATCAATGATCTCGGAGAGAGACAACCATGAGGAGTGGCTTAGTTCTCTGCCCAGGAATTGGACCTGGGTGGCCTGGGTGAAAAATCAGGAATCTTGATCTCTAGTCCACCAGCAGCTAGAAACCAGAAACAAGGTTCTCCTGGCTTTTGCCTCCAGTAAAAAATGCATTTCTCCAGGAGGCAAAAACTAAAAATATGATAAACATGCATTACTGGAGATAGAGCACAGTCGTGGGGGAGCACGCAGAGGTTTGTTTGGTTAAGACAGAAGCCAGGCAGCGTTCACACCCAAGAGAAAGGCTGTGGGCGTCCTCCCGGAGGAGGAGGAGCCCTGTAAAGAGACTGTTAAATCATCTGTACAGGGTAGTTCTTCTGTCTTTTGTTTGCCTTTGGCTAATTACCTGCCCTGCCCTAGGAGCCTTCCCGACAAGTGTGTGCAGCTTTTTTCCTAGATGGATTCCAGCACACAG